ATTAATTTAATTTTATAGTATGGGTATTTTTGTCTGGATGTTTGTGCACCACATGTGTGCCTGGTGCCCAGAGAGGCCAGAAGAGGATGTTGCATTCCCTGGAACCGGAATTACACATGATCGAGCCACCATGTGCGTGTTGTTGCTGGGAAATGAAGAATGACCAATACCCTTAACTACTGAGCCGTCTCTTCAGTCCTATGTGGTGTTTTAAAAACTACAACTTGGCCAGGCGGTGGTGGTGCACATCTTTAATCCCGGCTCTCAGGAGGCAGAGGCAGACGGATCTCTGTGAGTTCAAGGCCAGCCTGGTCTATAGTGTGAGTTCCAGGATGGCCCTGCTATTACACAGAGAAACCCCATCTTGAAAAAGGGAAACAAGCAAAAACTACAACTCTAATTTTTTTTTTAGTGGACGTACATGATTTTATATTTTTGTTTAAAGATTTTTAGAGTACTCAAGAAAAAGATAGAAGTGATGAACCCCCAAATTGTAATGCTCCCAGAGTGTGGGAATAGATAGTCTTAGTTTTCTCTTTATGGGCTTTAGAATTTTTTCAATCTTTACAGAACAATCACATTTTTGTTTTACAAGCAGGAAAGAAAAGTAAGGAAGAAACATAAATGAATTACCTTTAGTTCAAAAAAAACAAAAAACAAAAAAAAACAAAAAAAAGAAAAAAAGAAAAAAAGAAAAAAAAAGGAAAGGCAGTCCTGTTGTGTCTCCTCCTACTTCCCCAGCACTATGGTGCCTTCTCTTCTTTCCCTTCTGCTTCCTGAAGCTGCCCCAGCATCATTCTTGCTTCTGCTAAGTCCTTGACTTAGAGGTGGTGGTGGGATGGGGGTTGAGTGGGGTGGGATCAGGGGGTGGGGGTTGGGAGAGGCGAGGGTGGAGGCCGGTCGTCTCTATCGTCATCTTGTTTTCATTTATGCATGCGGTTCTCCTTTGGTTTGCTTTCTTCCCATTACACAGTCCCAGTTCCGCTCAGCTTTTCATCCGAAGCCAGTTGTTTTCCCAAGCTAATACTACGTACACGCTGCAGTTCTCCAGGGTGCCTGGCAGTCTCTGTATTATGTAATCCCGGAAGAAAGCAGCCTAATAGTAAGATTCACAACTCTCTTTGCTGGGTGGGAAAATTTATTTTTTTTGAAAAAAATAATTATACAATTTTATTAGCACAATGGTCATTGTATAAAATTATGCCTTTCATTATATTTTGTATACATGGGGTATGAGTGTGTGTGTGTTCCTGTGGATGCATGTACACATGTGTGCCTGTGTGTGTGCAGGTCAGAGATGGATATCCAGCGTCTTCCTCCATGGCTTTCTACCTTAGTTTTTGAGACAAGGTCTTTCATTGAACCCGGAGCGCACTGATTCACTAGGTTGCCTGGCCGGTGCCCCACCCCGAAGTTACATTTGTGCACTTAAGCACCAGGCTTTTATGGGGGTGCCAAGGATCCAGTCTCAGGTCCTCGTGCCTGCCCAGCAGGCTCTTTATCGACCGAGGCGCCTCTCCAGGCCTCCTCTGACATTTCCACACGGTGGATCCTGCACCTGGATCTCATCCTTTCTCTCACTGCCCTCCTGCCCTTCCTCTTCCCTGCCGCACTCTTTCCTCTTCCGAAACAGTCCTATTCGACCTTCATACTTCTTTCGAAATCTAGACTCTGTGTATGAGAGAAAAATGTAACATTTGCCAAAGTTCTATCACTATTCTTTTTTTTTTTAAATACTTTTATTTATTATCTATACAGTGTTCTGCCTGCATGTGTGCCTGCCGGCCAGAAGAGGGCACCGGATCTTATTACAGCTGGTTGTGAGCCACCATGTAGTTGTGATTTGAACTCAGGACCTTTAGGAAGACCAGCTAGCGCTCCTAACCGCTGAGCCATCTCTCCAGCCCCCTGTTGTTATTCTTGTGGAAGGTTTAGCCCTTACTCCTTAGCCATAGGTTTGTCTTGAGCTTATGTTTGATGGCTGGGTGTAGATGCTGACCAAGGCCAGTGCCTTACACTGCAGAGCGGCTTACAGGCCTGAGAGGAGAGAGCAGCTTCTCTGGCTCGTGAGGAAAGCCCCCACCACTCCCACACCCTGTTCTGTTTTCTCTGTGGCCACTTTTGTAAGCCACTGAGATCACTTAAAATGTACCTGGTAGAGCATGGGTGTCTAGTCGGCCCTTCAGGGAAGACACCTTTAGCAAGATGACTCTTGACTTAGTTCTTGGACACATTGCCAGCTAAGTAAAAAGCTAAATTTTCCAGACTCCCTGCAGGCAAGTCTGGTCATGAGATCTTATCAGAAAGAATTTTTTTTCTCTGTGTAACCCTGGATGTCCTGGAACTCACTCTGTAGACCAAGGTGGTCTTAAATGCAGAAATCTACCTGCCTCTTTCTCCCAGAGGGCTGAGATTAAAGGTGTGTGCCACCATGTCTGGCTCTTTTGTTTGTTTGTTTGTTTTTCTCCTATCTTTCCTGGTCTGGCAGAATGATGTGCTGCTAGAGTTCCTGGGCTCATTCTGGACCCTATGGCCAAGGGCTACACAGGGGATGGCAAAGCAAAGAGCCAACAGAAGCAGGCTCCCTCACCCTCTGTGCAGGGACCTCAGACAGCATCCCTCTGGGCAGGGACCTCAGACTGCATCTCTCTGGGCAGGGACCTCAGACTGCATCTCTCTGGGCAGGGACCTCAG